AGCCGCACAGTGAAGTGTATTTTAGTTAAGTGTATATCGAAAAAGAGAACTGTCACAGTTACATCGATCTGTCATAAATATCTTTTTTAATGTTGGGTAAGTTTTTAATTTAACTTTTTAACACATTTTTTAACACATTATTAAATATTTAACTTTTTAATTTATTTTATGTAATAATATCACAATCTTAAAATGTAATGCATCTCTGCAAACTCCTCAGGTGTGTTGTGATTTTATGACTTACTTTTAACATATACTTTCTTGTCCCTATGGCAACACAGTGCGTCGAATTAACTGAAATCCGGGCTTGATCCGGGTAATTGGATGTAGTTGGCGATATCTGCCGGCGGTTCTCAAAATGTTGCGATTATTTTTTTAAATTTTCAAAGCTAAATAACTCGGTTATTTTCAATTTAATTTAAAAATGGTAAAGAGAAAATATGTTTATTTTGACCAGATCTACCACCCCCTAAAATATCTGCACTCATTTCTGGGACACCCTCCATATTGAAAATTTATTCGTGTAAGGCATAGAATAAACACAAAAATAAAAATTCTTTTATAGGTGCTGAATATGTCATATGATCGAAAAAAGTCGTTTAGTTCGCGGGGGAATGACGACTATTGACATATTTACCGTAATATTTTACATATGAAATAACAGCGATCTTCATTTCCCTGCTAACTCTGACGCCGTTCTGTTCAATCATGTAATATTATATTAAACTGTCTAATGATAGAAAATCCGTATTATTAATGTACCGTACCCAAAATCCGTAAATGTAAGGATTAATCCGTAGTTCTGGCAACACTGACTACGTTACAGTATTTATTATCCGCTGCGCTGTAAACGACTATCAGAGAGCAGTGTCGCAGAACTAAACTAAATCTCGGACAGATTTTGCGCCACGAAATCACCCATAAGGTTGCGCATCTTCTTATTTCTTTAATTAACGGTTTCATATTATAGTCTTTCATACAGAATCCAATGGCTAAATAGTTTTTCGCTGCCAGCTCTCGTTTTTGAAATATGACCCATACTTATGTTTTATTTAAATGGGACACCCTGTCTAAAAATATAATACACTTTATACTTTTTTTCATAAATAATATAAAAAAGCATTATTTAACTTTTTAACATTGGCTGCCGATCTATACTAATATATAAAATCCTTAAGTGACTGACATACTGATTAATCACGATCCTGCTCAAACCACTCAATGTAAGAAGCTCAATTTTGGCATACAGTTTGATTCTAGGGTGTAGAGGGTAATTTGTGGTAGAGGTTCGATAAGAAAGGATTTTTCGAAATTCCAGTTCCAAGAGGGTGAAACCACCCCTCAAATATTACAATATATTTTATTCAAAAAACGGTCAAGTTTCCGAAAAAATGCTTAAACACGTATTTTTATTTTGTTTTTTACATATTTTAAAAATTTTTAAAAATATATACAGGGTGTTTCGAAAAATCTGGTCATTCATTAATCACGATCCTGCTTAAAGCGCTTGACGTAAAAAGCTGATTTTTGGAAAACATATTGACTTTAGGGTGTAGAGGTTTGATAAGAAGGGATTTTTCGAAACTCGAATTCCAAGGGGGTGAAACTATCCCTCAAATATTAAAATATTTTTTATTTAAAAACCGGTGAGTTTTTCGGAAAAACTCTTAAACACGTATATTATATTTTGTTGTTTTACATATTTTAAGATTTTTTATAAATTTATACACGGTGTTTCATAAAGAATGACCATTGAGTAATCACGATTCTGCTTAAACTGCTTGACGTTTAAAGCTGATTTTTTGCAAACGGATTGACTGTGGGGTGTTCGATAAGGAAGGGTTTCTCGAATCTCAAATTCCAAGATGGTGAAAACGTCCCTCAAATATTACAATATTTGTTATTTAAAAAACGGTTAGTCTTTCGGGAAAACGCTTGAACAAGCATTTATTATTTTATTTTTTTATATTATATTTTGCATATATATTGCATTTATTTATATTATATTTGGTTTTTTTACATATTTTGAATTTTTTTAAAAAATCATACAGGGTGTTTTTGTTTGGTTTGGTTTGGAAAAACTACCCCTCAAATATTACCAAGTTACATAATGATATCGCCATATTGTTTTTTCTCATGCTGACACAAATGTGAGAAAATTTTATCCACTTTGTATGTTAATGGAAATTCTTGCTTTGCTTTATCATCACCATTACAAATGTTTAATTCGACGCGAAAGAAATCGCTGGGTACAGGCTAGTATAATATATGAAGTAAACCAAAACTGTCGAATAATTTATTTGGCGTTTTCAAATTTTAGTTATTGGCTAGTTCACTGTGTTTTAAATGTTCGCACAATTGCATCAAAAATATCAATAACTCTGATTGAGAACGTGTTCTCTAAAAACTAAATAAGTTCATCTCAATAATATTTAACAGTTTGCAACATTTTCGAATTTACTGTTTCTCGTAGAAATTATAAAAGGTGTTTATGGCAATTTTTGTGCCCCTTTATAAAAAACTACACAATACAATTTCGATTTTACACTAAAAATCCCTAGTATATTAACATCATACACCAATAGCTGCAAAAATAATAGCCATTACAATAAGTGCCCGTTGAAATTTCACGTCAGAAAGAAAAGAGAACAAGAAGCTATTATGTCTAAAAAAGGTTTTGTCTGCTAGATGAAAGATCCCTATCGCTGCACAACAAATTGCCCTTATGTCAGCAAATTTTAAAATCAATATATAGATACATAATATGTCGTGAGCCAATGAATTGTGTATTTTATTATACATGGTGGTCTGAATTGTATTCGGGAAACTTCGACAGCATGTCCATGTTCTGAAGATAAATAAGTAAAAAAGTTTTTTACTTATACACAAGTTTGCATAAATGTATGTCCTAAAATGCTTCGTTTTGGAGAGATACTCGTAGTGTGGAGAAGTCTCATTTTTATTTCGATTTTTTCCAAATAATTTCAGAACTAATGTCGATATTTGGATCAAAATTGATGTCTGGGAATTTTTTAACATAAAAAAATTTATTTCGTTATCAATATGAAAATATAAAAACAAAATATACATTTCCGTTGTTTTTCACATAAAAAGGATCTCTTCGTAGAAATCGCTACGACTAAAGGTTCTCGAGATATTTGGAATCGAAATAATGAATACATATAATGAATATATCATCATTGACATTAATTAAGCATGTTGACACTAGATAAACTAAAATCATAAATTTGAAATATGTTTGCACCAAAAGGTTCAAAACAAATTGTTTTATCATAATTTTTTCTAAAAAAAGATAGATTAATTTAAAAAATAAAAAGTTCCCATAGCTACCATTTCAGTCAAATATCTAGTAAACATATTTATTTTTGTCAATAATGACAAGTATTGATAATTTACATTCCAAATATCTTGAGAACGGTGGCTCCGAGCGATTTTTACCAAGAGGCCTTTTTACGTAAATAAAAGAAGGGGTCCCTGCCCCCAAACGCTTTGTGTAAGCCAGCAACGCTGAGAAAATTCATCATAGGATCACAGATAGGATCCCGGATTCAACTAACCTAATTGGTGGAGATTCTCGCATGTTCCGTTGCCACGCGGCAGCCATGCTCAGGCGGTTTTCCTATCAGTGGCGTATTTACGTTTTTGCTTTGGGAGGGGGGGGGTCCAATAAAGAAAAAAAATGACCACGAAATAAAAAGTACCTATAATTTGATAACAACAAATAACTTAGATATAAAAATACAAAACCAGATATAAAAATAAAAAACCGAACAAAAAGAATACAACTTATACAAAAATAATTAATAAAAAATAATCTAAATTAGTTTGTGATACCTACTATTCTAAAAAAAAATTTAACATGTTCTAATTGAGAGTGCCAATCTACAGGGTGGTTCAAAAAACATGTGCCATCTCTCGTAGGGAGATTTCTCGCGTAAAATATTTATTTTTCATATCAATATAGGTCCGATTCTGCTTTGTTTCGTAGCTACAGGGTGTTAAAGTCTTAATATTTTTTCGATTTATTATAATTTTCATTATTCATTACATTTTTCATTTCATTTTAAGTACTTTTAAAAGTTACTATAAATGTGACATATTTTAAAGTTAAAAAGTGTTGAAATATTCACCAGTGACGTGCATATGCGTTATCACTGGAATATTTTTTCTAAAAAAAGCATGTACGCTACTGACTTTTTTTTCCTGTTGTTAGCGAAATAGTGTAAGCAGTTTAATTCCGATTAAAAGTTGTCTCTTGATATTTTGTCGATTTTGGCCTCCTTGATGACACAAATGCAATTTTATTAATTTGCCTTGATTCAAGTCTGATAGCAATCTATAAAAAAATAATATCATTAACTTGCGTAAGTTTTAAAAAAGTACTTATTGATTCCTCATCAAAAAATACTTTAGGTTTACACTTAATCAAAATTTCCATTTTTTTTTCTACGAGCACAGATGCCCGACGCACTATTGCCCAACCTTGTATCGCAAAAAAAAATTCTTACCTGCTTTTTCCCCGAACCCTTCATATATTTTCATAAAAGACCGCGCACTTCTGAATATTTTATGAATGAAATCAGTAATGTTTGTAGGAAAGTGCGTTCCCCTTACCGTTACCATCGTTGTTTCAGATCCATTTGTCAGACTGTAGAGGCTATCGGTTCTTTCATTCAAACCTTCATTCCTCACAATTGTGATTAATTCCTTATTCCAAAATACTATAGAAGGGCAACTACAGAAATAAATCAGGCTAATACCCTGCCAAAGTCAACTAATCCAATTATATCTCCAACCCTCCTTGAACATGAGCCAAGGCCGCGCTCAACCACCTGTTTTCTCTAATTTTCAGTGTCCAGGCTCGGCGGCGCGACGATAGAGCCACCCAACGCAAGCGCTACCTGAAGCTAGAGCAGGAGGAAGGCCCTAAAGCCGCCGACGATATCGCTCGGAAGAAGAAGTGCCCCAGGTGTGACGGACTGACGGTTTCGCGATATCAACCACAACGAGCCCGGCGCCGGCAGTCGGCAACGCAACGGCGATATCGTACCGGTCCTGCCACGAGTGCCACGAGGAAGTCGACGACAGCAGCGAAGACGGCAGGTGATAAAGATCTCTGCGTCCATCATGACACAGTAATTAAAACAGAACGCTTTTTGATCTTTCTTTTCTGTTTGTTTATGTTTTTGTTTTTCGATTGCACCGTTGAAAGTCTAACAGCACCAATATAGTACCTGCATCGGGCACTAATATACACTGTAAATAAAACGAGTGCAGAAAAAAGTGCTTACTGGTGAGTTTAGATAATTTTCTTTATAGTTAGTTCATTTGGAAAAATTCACGATAAAATTTGAGGTGGTGGTTCCTCATCAAAAAAATATGGAAAATGTTCCTATATTTCATACCAATTAAGCTTTAAAAAATCTACGTAATCGAGGGCGCGATTTTTAAATTAATTGTTGCCAACCATGGACATATTCGACGCTGCCAGCTGGAATTTAAATTTCGCGCTGGAGATTCAGGTGGTAGCTCTGCTGTAAAAAATATCAAGTTGCCGCATTTATTTATTTATTTCCTGACATTGTCATTCGTTTTGACAATTTAGCTTTGCATTACGAGTTTTTGGCTAAATTAAAGAGTGTTATAATATTTTAAGCTTAAAAATGTTTACTAGCAGACTTTGCAGACGAACATTGTTCTTTTTAGAACCTATTTTAGTGCGAAGTGTACAAGATAGCTTAATAACAGTAAAAAACTCATTGCAACTTTATTAGAACATTTTGAACGGGAAAGCGGTAGTAATAGCCCTTTATGTCCCGTAAGTACTGTTAAGAAGGTGAGTTTTGTTTATGTAAATAATAACTGTTTATATATTTATAATTAATTTATTTTTGTTTTCTAAAATATATTGATTAAAAGAAAAAAAATATATACCGTAAAATATAACAAATTACAATTTGTAACTTTCATGTTCAGTGCTACCCAAAGCAAATTTAATAAAAAATAATGGTATCTAAGATAATTACAAAAAATATTAAGTAACTTAAAATATAAGATTTATCATACTGCATCTTTATAACAATGCATTTCCGGCCTCATGTTTATACTTTTTCCATATTTTCTATGAGAAATCGCTCCATAAAGTTTGGTCGTGCAATTTTTAAACAACCTGTATAAAAGCACCGCCACAATTAGGGAAACTTGTAAAATTCCTAACTCAGTCTTACACTCTCACTAAGTTTAATATGAATTTCGTCTTGAACTCAATTTCGATATTTTTTAAGAATTGTAGCTTGATTCCTCAAGAATACATCTGACTTATTGCTATTTTTAAACGATTTGAGGAATTTTGACTGTTTTTGAGATAATCTATGGAATGAGCAACTTATAACAATTACGAAGCGTTTATAGACTCATATATTCCAAATATTTTCTTTTTTTAGTAATTCTGACCTTAATTATCTCGCGGTACACCCTGGATAGCATCTAATTATAGACGTAAACTAAATAATCTAGCACAACTGGAGACAGTGGAGACCAAACAATCCTAGCTTAGATCTCTTGGTCAATTAACCTGCGTCATTATGGTAGACGGCAAAATACTAAGGGCTGGCAAAGGTTAGTCTTGGGTCGAGATTTCCGTATGTAAGAGCAGTACAAGGCTTTTATAATGTACTGAACAAAGAGAGGACAGTAAACACGTTGCCAAACGTATACAATAAACCGAGAAACTGTGCACGTCGCTAAGAGACGTGGAAGGGGATATAGCAGATTTGTCGCAGTTGACCGGTCGACCCAATCAATACCTCTGTCAGTAGAGTTTTTCTTATGTAAACATATTGTAAAATATCCGATCTTGAAAATAAAAAAAGTTTCAATATCTAAAGTGGTTCTTGAGTTATGGCCTGTTATGTGTTAAAAAGTTGAGTTTTTAAATTATCGCAATTACTGACGTTTTCTCGGTATAAAAGAAATGACACCCTTACGATATCCTTATAATTCCATTTCAGATGCTCAGAAACATGTCTAATGATTTTATCTAGTTATCTGTTGAAAAAAAAGTCTTTTAAAAATATGCGGTTTGCGATCGTGATTTTAGTTTACTTGATAGGGAAAGCCGTATCGGCAACGCCGCAACAGCACATCGTCGCGCGTGGCGTCGGTCGGTCGCATTTCTCTCTTCTCTCACTCCGACTTAATAAGGTCCCTATGCGATTTACTTTCACACATGTAAATGCCGACCCAAAAGTAACAGATGCCAGCACGGTATGATAAAATCCCTAGTCCTTGTAAGAACTATATTATAATAAAGAATTTAGTTCTAGCATATTAGTCAATAGGCAGACTAATATAGTGGAAAAAAATAGAAAAAGTATTAGCCAAGCTAGCAGTGTGAGATTCTTCACACGCTTTTACTATTATACCGGTTGGTGTATCGTCGTTGGATACAGCAAATTGCTTTTGAAACCTTTGAACTTTCCAGATATTGGCTCCCCTGTTAATTTTAAAGCGATGTTGTAAATAAGTTTTTTAATGGTCTGCGTATGGTGAATACACATGCCGAATTTGAACAATTTTCAACAAGCGGATTTTAAATAATTTAAGAAAAACTCACCTATTTTTAAATTTACTGAAACTGAACAAGTAATTTTAATAGTATTTTTATACGGTAGAGCTTTTGTCTAATTCACACTATCCGCATGTGATGTACTGTAGTAGTGTAGAAAGCACACAAATTACATTTGACAATGTTAAAATCATAGATTGCAGAGTGGGTTGACAACTTAGGGTATGGTGACATTTGCTTGGTTTGGCTCAAAAAACCACTGTCACAAAATTCTTTATTAGTGACCTGTTTCGGCAATTCCAGCCGTCATCAGAACTTTGCCAAAAACAGCTGTTCGTTTGACTTTATAGATGCGAAAAAACCGCAACGGAGAAATTTTTAGTCAAATTTAAAGTATTATATTTTTGTTATTTTTAGCCCTATTTTCATGATTTTTTAGCAAACTGTATATAATTATATCAACTTTAATTCGTAAACTAAGTTTTTTATAAACTTTGGTATTTGGCATATTATACACGGTTAATCTGGGGGTTGTTTTATTACCCTACCTTTAAAACACCCTGTGCAATAATTTCGTGTGTAAATTTTCCTAAAATATAATTTTGCGATTAGAACCATGACTCCTGAGCATTTTGTTTTTTGATTTATATCAATATATGCTTTGGCTAATTTTTAAGAGCGAAATAAACTAATCACGATCAATTTGCAATTTTTTCAATTATCATTACTTTTTGATGTTATTTTTTAACATAGCGAGATGGTTTGGTGACTATTGTCGTAACGTCATATTACGCTGCATTGCATACCTACTCTATACTAAATTAAAAAAAAAACGTTAAAGACTAACGATACAGTCCTATGGTTTTAATAAACATTCATAACGATAACAGAACTAACGATATTAAAGAAAACATCTGTAATACTCAAGTATACAAACAGAAAAAAAAATCTAAAAAATACCCTAATACTTACTGTTACTGCCTTTATATATATATATATGTCCGTTCATACTGTCATTGAGGCTGCATATATCATATTGCTTTATGCTTTCCCATTCTTCTCTACAAACCAAGCGAAGTTCATTTAATGAACCAGGTACCGCTTCGGGACCTCAAAACCTCCTGCCAAGCATTTTCCAAATAATGTCAAATATGATGGCCAGTCATAGTAATATATAGTTCACAATAATCACCAAAGCCGCTTTGTCATATTGAAAAATACCTTGAAAAGAAATGATAATTGAAAAAATTGAATCTTTCTCAAGAGGGGCGTTTGATAATATTATCAGAATTATAGAGAGGCAGAGAACTGCTTTCGTAGTAGTGTTTATTAATTAGGAGCGTTATTAAAACAATAATTATAAAATATTTATTGGTATTTTACAATTTTTTCATCTTAAAGATTTGATATCACACGCTGTTTTCAATTTTCTTGTTTCTCACTCTACAGATTGCTTTCACTCTACAAATAGCACTGAAAATTCCTTAATTCTTTTCCAGTCTTGTATATAAAAATGAATAGTTAAAAATGGTAATTAGTTGGATGTAAAAAATGTCTATAACCTATGTGGCGGATTCATCTCTCCAAAAAAATCCTATATGGGTATTTCGCCACTGCTAGAAAATTTACAAAATAAAATAGTTATTTTTTGTAAACACTCCTGCCTTAATCCAACGGAAACTACTTGTCAGCAGTTAGGTTTACAGATAAACAAATTTGCCTTTTTTTTGCGTTTCCGAAAGTTTATCTCTTTCCGTTGTCGGAAGCAAAAAAATACAAAAATAAAGAAAAAAACTATTTAAAATATTTAAATTCAACTATTCGAGAACATTTTAGTTTTTTTTTTTAAATAGATACGTCTACAAAAACCGTTGACGTTCTGTTAAAATGACATTAATTAAATGTAGTTGGATGTATTCGTGCAGAATCCAGCTATAATTTGTAACAAATATATCATAATCGGCGTTGCGTTCGAACTGAATTCGAAAAAATTGATGTTCAACATAGTGTAAATTTTGCCTCTCCTACTAATTGTTTAGTCAAAAAAATATTTAGAATTTGTCTCCAAGATTCTATTGTTTTTGCTTATTAATTTTTATATTAGTTAACAAATATAACGTTTTTTATAGTTTTTACCTAACATAATTGTATATAAATTGCCGGTATAGTAGCTATTTTCACAAAGCACTCTATACAGGGTGATTCACGGCCGTGGTACGTAAAAATTTGAATTTTTGCATAAAGTTGCCGCATCTATGTTTAATTAATAATAATAATAATAACTGATTTTGGAGACGACATTACGTTCATAACATATTTTGATCATTTATAAGTCAAATTAAAGCTATTTTAAATCTGTGCATGATGTTTTAAAGGTATATAAAGGGGTAGTATAGTATACATAGGGAAGTTATAAGGGTAATATTTCACCCTGTATAATACACAGAAAATCGACAATTCAAAACTTTCTTATGAAATAGCTCTAACTACTAATTTTCGAAACATAGTTTAAATAGTCTAAGGCTCACTAGCAATA